TGAGTGACAGTTGTTCACATCAGGACAAACCATTAAACATACAGCAAGTTTTTCTTCAGGCAAACTGTTCTTGAAGTCTATAGAAGCTGGAATTTATCTTGCTTTAGTAAAATCTGGATGAGGGTCTCATAATATGACCTTTAGTGACTTTTACTGCCTTTTCATCTTAATAAAATCAGTGGAGCTGTGACCTGGATCACCACTCATTTGTTCAAGATTCTGCTTTGTTCATAGTGACAGTCTTTTAGGGTACAAGTGAAGACTGAAGAAACTTCAGATGGTTGAATTGTGCCAGAGCAAATTATTGAATCAGTGATGTAAGGAAAAACATAAATAAAAAATCTAGCTAGATTACAGAAAATTAAACACACTGCATTTACGCACTTGGATTTCTTTACACTGCATATGTAATGAGGAAGTTGAGAAGTACAGTTTTTGTTTCAGAAAGTCAAATGGACATTCCAAAATGCATAATATCCCAAATATATTGTTATCCTGTCCCTACCTTTATAGATATAGGGGATAGACACAAATCAAGTGGGTTGCTCTCAAAATCATGCACGTGTTCGTATATGTTTTTTGAAAAACTAAAATGGAAAATAGTCTCTTTTCTTTGAAACACTATTTTCTGTCCCAATCTGAAAGTTGTTTTCTTACTTTGTGGCAAATCAGTGTTAGCCTGTTCCTATCATATATTTGCTATAAATCTCTCAAATGTTGTGCTCATGAGCAGTATACTCAATTTGATTCAACGTTTGTGGAAATCAGAAAAGCACTATTTTGCAGTAGGGTTCTCTGATGTAAGAGGCATTACACATCTTCCTTTACTTAGCTCTTGTTTAAACTAACCTATATATTTTTAAAAATCATAAAACCTTGTGGCAGAGAATACAAAGGACTTAGGAAATTTTTTGAAGACTAACCAATATTGTTAAGTGTTTTATTTCTAGTTTTAATTGTCTAGCTATGCCTAGCAGCTTTTTTATACTATTATATCTTTGCCTAAATGAAGGGTATTTTGTTATCAAACATACCATCCTAAATGTACAAATTGAAACTCTGAATTTACTTCTCATAAAATTATTTGAAAGCAAAAATGAAATCACATCACATGTGAAACCCAACAAAGTTCTAACATCGCAATAGAAATGACATACAGCACAACACATGTTCTACCTCATTTTTTCATATAATTGGGCCAGGTTTTTTTCTTTGTTTTAATTTGGAGCATCTTAGATTTGGAGGTCATTACTAACTTTTTTTCAAAAAAATGATGCAAATAATGGTTGTGGGGTTTTTTGTCACCATTTTATAGCAAAGTAAATGAGACATGTGCTGTGCAGTTCCACCAGACCTAGAGCAGACTGGAAAAGATATAAATATGTCAGTATTATAGGAGGAAAAATACATAAATGCACATGGTGACTCTCTTAAGTCTTGGGCTCAGTGTGATACTAATTCATTTCTGTGACATTTGGAATACTTCTCCCAACATTAATAGTAAGTTTATAGTGGGGGGTAATTCTGACAGACACAGTGTTGAAATAAAAACTTGAAAGAATGTCCATCAGATTATACAGGTGCACAGAACATGCATTTGCAGTGATTGATGATCTTTTTGTTAAAGGTTGACATAATGTTGAATGGAATGTTTTGTTTATATGCGGTGGTCTGGTTTATTGACTGGTACCAAAATGTATGACCAAACTGGGACTTGGTATAGTGTCTTTTTTTCTTCATTTTTTTCTGGATAAAAAATCTGTATTGACCTTTTCTCTCCCATCATGAGTTCATGGATGACCTTAGATTATTTTATAACTACTATTTTTCTTAATCTAATTTTTCCTTTTAAAAATACTCCATTGAACTGAAAATTTCAGATGAATATTTAAAGAATATTTAGAGAAAGGATTCTGGGATTGACTTTCTGAGCAGATGTTATAGAACTTTGTTTACCTTCATTTTCTTACTGAAGGCAAAAATAACAGTTGATATACAATTCAAATACATCTGTCTTCAGTTTGGAAGATTATTTCTGTTGAATTTCGTGTAAAGAAAAATCTCTAAGAAAATGGGAGAACGTCAGCTCCTAACAATTGCAAATGGAACTGGAAGATCATGTCACTATTAATAAATTAATTATTTTTTCTCTTTTACACAATCAAATCAGTAGAATAATGGATATCTTCACTTACAGCTCAGAATACTACACTTTAAATTGCACCAGCCTGTTATCTGAACCCAGAATTAAAATTAAAACTGTGAATATATGCATATCCAAAACCATTCTTCAAATCCATGTAAAACTTAAGTTCCACTCTGGAAGCAGAATTTAATATTTTAGGGTACTTTCTGATATTCAAAATACTAAAGAACAAGCAAACAAAAAAATTTGGCAAGGTATATTAACAACATTATCACAAGAAGAGCAGCATACATACTGCTCTTAATTGAAATAAATGTGAAATGAGAACTTCTTCAGCCCTTCAGTCCAAAAAAATAGGCTCAATATCTCTTCACATAGATAGGGTACTTTATACATTGTTTGTTTTTCACCTGGCCTTAAAATAACAATATCAAGAAAGTAGCAATCAAATGGTCCAGGTTGTCTTGGCTCATGGATATCTTTAGAGACGCATGGAGAATGTAGTCTTTATCTGTATCTTTTCAGCTTCACAGTGAGCATCTGGCTTGTGAAAAATCATGGAAAGTACTCCAGGGCTCTCCAGCCATCTCATTTTTTTAATATCTTATCTGCATAGGAAGAGAATCTCCTTCATCTGTTAGTCTGAATAACCACTTCTGTCTGATGGTCACTGTATAGATTCTACTATATAAAATGTCTAACATTACAGTTCGTAGATTTTCCGCTGTACTGTTCACAGATACTGTAGAAAAGTGACAGCTGTTAGTGCATGTACAGTTCAGGCCTTAGGCCACCAGGAGTTAACCTGTCCAAGAACTATTCCCTTCCAGCAAATTGGAACTACTTGAAATAATTTAGCTAAACTAGGACTGTTCTATACATCTGATTTTAGTTCTGAAGGAACTCAGTTCAGAATCTTTTCTAGTTGTGGTCAAGCCATTTTAACCAGGAAATAATTACTTCTTTCAGTCATCTGAATGTCTCTCCAAATTTGTAATGGTTGTAAGGGTGTAAGCTTGGTGATAGCTAATGCTCTTTAGGGCTCTGTAATTTTATTTATTTTAATTTTTTTTTCTCTCTTACCCTGTTAACTAGAGAAGTAGGAGGTACTTGAATGTAGAGGTCAGATATCAGTATTGAAAGAATGACAAAACACTCTTTACCACTCACACGAAAATGTTCTATTCTCTTCCTTGTGAGAAAGAAGTTAAAGAACTGGGTAGAATTACAGACATCAACTGAGGGTATATCAAGGGAGGAGTAAATAAAGGAAGCTAAGCTTTACAAAGCACAGTGAAGGGAAGTTCCTGTGCTCAACAAAATTTACTGTGAGAGTAGGGACAAGTAAACTTCAGTACAACTAGAAGAATATTAGAGTATGGTCTGTTTTGAAAGAATTCAGTGATTAAAAATAACTTATTTTTGAAAAACAACTCATCATTTATGAATGCTCAGAGGACTCCTTTGCATTTTGGATATCGTAGACAGTGCTTACATTATCTAGGAAGCCTTAGGCAGTACTAACTACTTTGCTTAATGCTGCGTAGAATTTACCATGATTGATTCAGTAGGGACTGAATGAAAAGGCATTTCACTGTTCTTTCTTCTGTATTGTCACTGGCTTCACATTTGCTTTGTAAATGGAACTAAAAATAATCATCAGGCTAATCAACTAAATCATGTTAGTTTTTATCTGCAAAAACAGGTAAACTGTAAAGAACTGTGTAGCTATCAAACTGACAGCTGCTAAATGTTGCCAGTGAATATTCTTCATTTTGTCATATTCTTCCATTTAATATTTTGATTTTGATTAGCACTTTGAAAAGCTTAGTTTGGCATATAAATCCCAAATTCAGGAACAGTTGCATAGAGTTGCTGCTTATCACAGTGTAAATTAGGAGAAACATCAATGCTATTTTTTACTTTTTTTGTTATTCACAAATGTAAACGCAGTAGTATGTAAACACAATATAGCATGCAATTTGAAAATATGGAATCTGATGTTTTAGCACCAAAATTAAGCTCCCGTGCTGTACTGAAGTAATTAGAGGACTTATACACCTGCAGGGAATAAGACTTTGTCTCAAATAAAATTACTGATGAAAAACAGGTTTGTATTATAATACTATTTTAGAAAACCTGCCACCTCAAAATGTATTTTCTGTATAATACGTTTAAAGAAAAAGTACATACAGGTAGATATTCAGGTCTGACTATGCAAGGGAAGTTAAACATGCATCAGGTGTATATGTGTCAGAGCCTGCTGGAAAACTCTATGTCATGCAATTCAGAGCAGACCTGGGAAATCTATTCATCATGAGCTGCAGACCACCACCGTGTTTGCAGTGCAAAAAGCTAGCCTTTCTTTTCTGGATAATAAATGATCACAGAACTGGAAATGAGTCAGACCTTTCAGACCAGCCAAAGACAAACTATCTTTGATTCCAATACTCTTGATTCACCTGTGCATATTCCATGTATTACTCAGGTGCTAAGCAGAAGTGCTTTTTGTCTTCAGGGCTGAAAGACCCTTTAGTTTAAATTAAGGACGTTCACTGGTCTTCCTTGAGAAAGTAAAATAAATTTGCTAGTGGTTACTAGTTGTAAAAAGCTGTTAAAATACACAAGTTCTGCCTCATTTCCAGTGAAATGCTGTGACTTAAGAACACTCGTTTATTGTTACACAGTGTGCTGCCAGACAGTTCAGGTAGATGAAATCTGATTCTCACTGCTTTAAGCATTTCATTATCACTTATGGGTTGTTTCAAAAGACAAGGAAAATATAAAACTGCATAGAGTGAAGTAGTAACTTGCAGCTGAGACTTTTTAGTGTTTTGTTGTTGTTTTTTTTTAGTAAATTGACTGCATTTCACCTTTGACTCAGAAGGACCTGACGGTTTTCTATTGCTGAAGAAGCAGGTTTTCTTAATGACGGTGCTATCAGAGGTGAGATGAGTGAAGGAAGCTGTAACATTAAGAGATACACAAGAAATATTAAAAGCTTGACTGGGCAAGTCAGCCTGTGTCAACAGTCATGCTAAGAATATCTGTCACAGTAGAAGCTGTGCCCAGTCTGTGATACCCTGACTGCAAGCTAGGTATGCAGTTAGACTGCTGAAGTGTAGCCCTGTTCATTGACCTGTTACAGTGATATGAAGTGTTAAATGTATTTTTAGGTAAGCTGTCTCTGCTAAATCTAGACAGCAAACTACTTTTGATTTATTCCTGCTATTGCTTTTTCTAAGCACTTTTTCTGATTTCTTATGAATGTGTGTATTAATTATATACCTTCGAATTTTAGACCTTTTAGTTTCTTGTTCTTCTAATCATAATGTTCAAATGTAAGCATTAATACTGGATGAAAATAGCAAAAATTGCATGTTTAAATGCAGTTAAATAACTTTGTCATGTCCCTTTGATGCATAAGAATTTGTGTCCATGTTGAAACAAATCATAGAAGAGTTCTTAACTATATTTGCTTGGCATCCTTGCTGTCTTCTCCTAAGGCAATGATGCTTCCATTTTCCAGGCTACAGCTGCTTTTAGAAAACAGTAGAAAGCCTTGCAGGCATCTGTTGTTTACTGGATTGCTAATTCTTATTTAAAGCTCTTAACACTAGTCTTTTATGACATTATACTTTAGAACTTACAAAATACAAGTGCATTTGAACAAGTGTTACAGTTCATTGTTAAAATTATTATAGGTTAATTCTGGAATTAACCTACTTGCAGAAAGTAATTTTGCATTTACAACTTCCTGTTCTATATGTAAACAGTTTGTATAATTAGCAGCTTGTTAACAGGTTGTGGGATTTTTTTTCTTTCCTTTTTATTTTTTTCTTAAGTTGATATAGGAAGATTTAAAAATTATTTGGGTCATAAATCCTTCTACTTTCAAAATCCTTATTTGTATTTTCAAATGTGTTAAACATTGTAACACTTATTGCTGTAATTTCTTTTTAGGAATCTACTTATGTAAGTTTCTTAACTATACTAATAGAAAACCTATTATTTCTTAATTTTATCCTCAGTGGAGCCCTCTAAGACAGAGAAGTATTAGCTTAATTAGATAGGCAAGGAACTATAACGTCAGATAGATTGAATGGCACACAGAGGTCACACAGAGGAAGCCTGTGGTTGGGCTGAGAATTGCAGCAAGGTCTCTTGAGCCTGATCTAGTCTCATCTTTTGTTTAGAGCTATATATTAAGCCATTTGTTATTTTAATTCTCATTTAGTACTTGTGTTAGGCTGGGATTTTCTTTTTTAAAATAGAACTTTTTATAAATCCTTAGAGCAATCCCTAGATCTTCACTGAAATGAAACTTAAACAAAAGCTGCATTTTTCTTTTGGAATTTTTTTCTTAACTTTCTTTAAGAGTTGGGGTTGTTTTGTGTTTGGTTGTTTGTTTTTTTTTTTTACTTCTCTGAACGTTCTGCTTTTGTGGAATTGAGAAATAGAAGAAGAAACTGCAACATCTTCAACCTTGCAAAACTTAAGACTAGCAGGAAAACTTAGCGGAAAGTTTTGCTTATGGTGTTGTCCCTTTAGGCAGATATGAAAGAAAAGAAGTGCACAAGTGGTCAACTTAATAACTCATAAAGTTATTAAGAACCTTGGAGAGGTGGTGTCAGTTTTTTGCTCTCAGGGGCTTGGAGAATATGGATGTTGATAACTTGTGCAGCCATGCCACAACCATCCTACTTTAATTAGATAGGGAAGGAAGCAGATGACTGGTGATACAAAAACCCACTGACCAAATTTTTCTGCCCATCGCAGGCAAATTCTGCCTGATTTCTACTGCTATATCTGCTTCACTAAGTAGTTCCACAGTTCTTGCACTGTCCTCAGCCTTAACATGGGTTATTAGCACATGTATTTTGAGTTTGGATGATTTGCTAACACATGCTTGGGCAAAATTAAAAATGTTTTTGCAAATCATCATGTTGCTATACTGTGCATATCAGAGAGATTATCATGTCTGTGCAAAGTAACCAATTTTCCTTTTATACCTTGTAAAGAAGGTGCAGTGAATGAAAATGAATTCCCCACCTCCATAGCTATGAAACTCGTGTCTAGTTTCTACAGGTGAAACATTATTAGAGCTCAAGTAGTTCTTGAATTTAAATTATTTATTATTTACTTATCACTAGAGGTATCTTTTCATGTCATAGTACCACTTAAAGAGCTGTAATGTCCGTATGCAGTAACACTGAATATTGCAAATATTGTAATGTTTGAAAAGGTGTTGCATTCTAGGAAGGAATTTGTAAATGCTTTTCCAACCCCTTTTATTTTAATTGCTATGATGGATCTTGCCCTTTGATGTTTGCTTTCCAGCATGAGTACTCTAACAAACATGTTTACTTGTAAGAACATTCACTGAAAGAACAAACTGAAAGCATATACTGCTGACTACTTCCAGAACAAGAATTAGGAATCTGTGTTGCAAGTAATTATAGTGAACATCGAGTTCAGGCAAAATTCTCACACGCTAAGGACAACCCAGTATATCATATTATTTGCCACTCAAAATATGCTTTTAAAGTGCGGATATTCTCACTGAAGTCATTTACCTCTGCCTGTGCTCTATTCTTCATAAGAATTTGTTCAGTGCAGAAAGTTGACTGTTTATTCCAAGCTGTGTATTTGCAATGTGTAGCCATCACTTCCCATATAAGGAATGTGTAAGGAAAAATATACTTTTCACTGGAAAACAGCTCCTAGTATAGTGCATATTACTGAAATCTACAAATGTTTAATTGGTTGGTTGACTATTTACTTGTTTGAACTTTTCGAGATAGAATCTATATGTATTACATAGAAAGAGAGTGTTGGTGTTTTTCAAATTCTCTGGTGCTAAGCTCTATACTTCAGCTTTTAAGTCTTCTGAAAAGTATAATATAAGGTAGGATAGCCTGCCTTTTTTTTGGTTTTTTTTTTTCCCCTTCTTTCTCTCTAGTGTGAACCTTGGTTGAATGAATTAGCCTTCAGACCAGAGCATTAAGAACAAGTAAATCTGTTTGCTTCGCTGAAGGCAAACAAGGGTGAAATGATTTAAAGTCAGGTAATACAACACCATGAGGGCGTCTCTTAGTGAGTTCCTGTGCATGTGCCTTACTTCTTATGATAATAATGGTCTGTGGTAACGTGTTCTAATACATGTTCCCACAGAACTGCATAACTGTTGCAAAATGAATATGGGTTAAAAAAAAAGTCCTAAAAATGGTCATCCAGGAGAAATCAATGTTTGCTACATTCTTCTAGAATTCCTCAATCCATGGACAAGGATGTAGTGGTTATAAAAAAGAAAAGAAATAACTTCAGGGAATGTTTCAAGTGCTGGAATAGAATAGAATAATTTTTCTGAAGCTGTGACAAGGGATGTGAGTAGAAGATATTACCTTAAATTGTTTCAATAAGATGTACTATTTTCCCATATAATTCCTGTATCTTAGTAAAATGACCATTCCCAAAATCCTTTTCCTCTTCTGTGATATTATGGGATGTGGAGGGAAGCCCCCTCAGATGTCTGGCATTAGCACCTCACTTTACCACGTCTGCTGAAGGAGAACGGCAGTGGGAAGACTGGCATCATTTATTTGGCTTGAGTTCTGACACCTGTGTCCTGCAGCAAATTTTCTTTTTTGGAACTAAATCCCAAATTCTAGTGTAAGAAGTTTTGGCAAAATTTCAGCGGAATTTTTGCCTGCTCCTATGTTAAGAAATTATCTATGGAGGGGAAAAAAAAAAAAAGGAAACTAAGTGAGTGGTCTAACCCATGCATATAATTACACTGAATTATTCATTGAATTTGGTTTCTTAAATTTTCTAGTGTTGGTGCTTTCTTGTGTCTCAGAAACATTGCTCCTATAGTTTTTCTTTGTCAAGCTTTCTTTAAAGACATATTATGGCAGTAACACAATACTAAGAAGACATATTCAGAGCAGAAGGCAGAGAGAATGGTCACACTGTTTTTTTAGCCTTATTCTAAGTGCTGTCCGTGCTACCAGTCAGCCTCTTCATCTGAGACTTTTCCCCTACATCTGAAGATCTTAAAAATGCAATGTTTTCATTCAGATTTAGAATGTAATGTTCCACATTACAATGAATCAATTAAAGGTGTATTCAGAGCCAAAGGATCTGTAGGGGTGTCATTTCAATACGGATAGGACTTCTGACACAGTAGATCCAAATCTTACTGTTTACTCATCCCCTCCAGGAAATCAATTTAAAAAAAATATATGTTTTAAGGTTGTTAAAATAGCAAGTAGCTTAAAAGTAATCCTAGGTGTACTTGTCTACTACCTTTATCCACTAGGTGACAGTACAGCTCTTTTACCTTTTGTATCTTTGTCCATAGGTGTTTTTTAAAAAGTCGTGTTATACACACTTAAGAACATGTTGTTTTCAGCTGAGAAGTACGTGCTGTGTGCTTTATTTTTTTTTTTGTAATGGGAAAAAATTCTGTGCAGAATTTTTTATCAGTATAGTTAATTAGTATAAACAACATTTCTCATCGTTGGGCAAACATATTTACTTTTAACTGTGAAAGGCACTACCGAGTGCCTTAGCTGTGGTCTGATAAATAACTATCGAAAAAGCAAACACTGGAAGTAACTGAAAAAATAATCGGTTTGCAGCCCCAAGGTAAGATATGCAAAACAGTTATGTTTTTATTTGTCTATGAGAAAGGAGCTTAAATTAGTAAAACTGTATTTTAAATAAAGAATAGATTGCACAGTGTAACTGACCTTTGTTTAGATGGCTTGTTACAGGTATTGGTCAAAAATAAGTTACACACTTTCTGAACTTCTACTGTTCTATGTCCCAGGGCTACTGATATGAAAGAATTGTGTTTTAAAATGTAGTTGTCTTTTACTTCAGCAGTTATTTACTCCTTACTTTTTGTAAATTTTTTAGAAGCCCAAACACTGGAAAGTAGA